TTTCACACTTACTTTTGTTCCGTTTATGAAAAATGTCGTAAAAATATATTAACATTCAGATTCCTTTTTTAAAAATAAAATTTAAAGAACGTTTCAGAGTTGAGCAGCGGAAAATGAAATGGAGAATATTCTTTCTTAAAAAGTAATATAATACTAATAATATTATTTAGTTGAGATTTGGTCATAATTATAGAGTGATGACAATATTTGGTTTAATTTAATATAATAATAAAACTTGATGCCCCGAAGGAAATGTCATATTCGCCCCGGGCTCATCACGAAAAGTGAACATGATATATGAAACGAAAAATGTAATTTTATGACTTAATGGAAACATGGCAACATGCTAAAAGGGCCTACATGTTACTTTTCTTCGAACAAAAACCCGAAATAATTGTTTTTTTTTCAAATAAATAATTGAAAATTGTAACTGTAAATATAATTAAATTCAGCGCTTACTTTAAAAAAGGAAAAAAAAAGTGGGGTTGTTGGTCTTTCAAGCGAAATAATAAAGCATATATTAAATTCTTAAAACCATTTTAACCGCACAAATTGAAGAAAATTCTATTAGCAAAATCCGAATATGCTGTAGTAACAAGAATAATATATTTTTGTTAAAAAAAATAATATATATATATATACATTACTAATGTAATTTATGAATGTATTTTTGAATTCCAATTATAACTTACCAAAGCTTATCTCAAAAAAAAAATGAAGCGATGGAATATAATTAGAAGACAGTAAATATAAATGACTGATATTAAAGCTTTATAAATGGCATTTTATGAGGGGAAATGATTCAAAATTGGAATATGTGGAGGGGGAAGGTAGGTGAGCGAGGAGAATAAAATGAAAAGTTTGTGGAAGTTGGTTTAAAAGTACATGGTAATATAATTAAAGCTGCTTTTTGAGTCGATATATTAAATTAAATACAAAATTTATTTTTTTAAAAAAGTGAAGGATTAATCTTCCAACCAAGTGGCAACCGTGTAGCGGTGCTGCGTTGTTAAAGTCTGATTCTGACCCCTCCCAATTTATTTATTTATGGTTGAAAATAATCTCTCTCCAATTAAATCTAAGAAATTAATCTTTAAAATTTATACGAGTAATAATTTAGTTTCTATGATCTAAATTTTAACAATTTAATCTCTATCTTAACAAATCTCATAAAAATTAAATGTTAATACTGACAATAATTTTTACGATAAAGACTAATAAAAACTAAATTATTATATACTAAAATTTATAGGTGTTAGACGCGTAAATTTAGTCTATTGGAGTTAACTAATTTACAACATTATAAGAGATATTGATAAAACCTGTAAAATAGGAAGATCATACATCGGAATTGAAATTTTATGTGAAGTATAACAAAAATACGAATTTTTTAGTGTACCATCACAATGAGTATTTTTTTATTTTTCTTAGGAAAATCTAGTCATATCTTCTCCAGATATTCATGATGTCTTTCTATTTGAATCTTAAAAGTAAATTTAAATTAAAGAAACTATAATTTTTCCCAATTATATTGTTGTAAATTTAAAAGACTAAGTCTATATTTTAATTAAATTACGTTAATCAAAGTGATTTTTAAAATTTATTTGTTTACTTTTAAAGAGTATAAATAGAAAGCCACAATATTGTATTGTANGAGAGAGAGAGAGAGAGAGGTAAAATTAAAAAAAGCCATCGAGATTCGAGTATTATTTGAGGAATAAAAAAAAACAAACAAACATGGGAAAATGTGGGAATCCTTGAAGTAAAAAGAATCTGATGCCACGTATTGAATCGATTAAAATTAGCCGATGATGTCCATGTTCTCTTGATCCACCAACGCCGCCTCCTGAAATAAATAATTATATTTAAAAAAAACAAAAAGAAATAAATAATTCTAAATTACGCATCATCCACCGTATAAATAATTTTCAAATAACAAATTATACCATTCTCATTCTGTCCGTTAATTTTAATATCATTCATGAATACAATAGCTGTATAGTTACATATGCGGGTTTTTAATTTGGGCCTAATATTAATGTCCTTTTTTAAGTCATTTTATCAATGTATTTTAAATGGAGTGTGACCATAGTGGTACTAATGCAAATTTGTATTTATTAAATTTTTAGTATAACAAATGTGGGATAAGAGATTGAACTTTTGACTTACAAAAAATAAGCGAGATAATTGTTGAGCTATGCTTATGTTGGCTACAAATTTGTATTTATATTATATGATATGAATAATAAAATATTTTTCTTTCTATCATAGTTTGTGTTATAACATAAGCATAATTTCGCGGTTAAGACATTTTGCTCATTTATTAGAGATTGGTGGTTGAATCTCTCATCCTATATATTTGTTTTACTAAAATGAATGTTGGGTTTTTTTTTTTTTTTTTGGCCTAGAATGAATTAAAGAATCTTGATTGCATCATTAATATTTAAAATTAGATGTCAAATAACATGTGTTTGGTTAATTAGCCACGAAAAACAGGAAAAGCAAAATAACCAAAGAATATAATGCAATGAAACTGGAAAGAGGGTCCCACCCCAAAGGGACAAATTTGGTTTCGTTTAAGCAAAGCCAGAAGAAGGGACCAATTCTTCAGCGCGTTTGGTCCATCTCCCCCTTCCCTTCTCTTTCCTTCTTTCTTCTTCGTTACCATTCAAATTTCTTAAAAAATTATAAATAAATGGTCATTAACAATTTAACCCAAATTGTAAATCGATTTAATTTCATTAATTGAATAATAACCAAATTCTACATAGTCACATCACAAAGTATTAATTTTTTATCGACAAATTTGACATCAACTTAAGAGATTGAATCGATATATTTACATAGTATTACAAAAAGGTCAATAAAATATAAAAAAATATAATATAATTCCATTAATATAGACAATATTTTTTACTTGACCTAGCGAGATAGATCTACAATGACACTTGCTCTGACGAAGATGATGGCGTGAAAAAATATTAGGTAGAAGAAGGTGAAAACTGTTTGTGAATAATACTTACGGAAGGGAAGCGAGAGTTTTGATCTTCCGTGTAATAGTTTTTTTGCTTCGTATAAGCAAAATATATGAAATATTTATTACAAATTTTTTATTTTTAGAAATTTTTGTAGAAATATCGACATCCAGTTTTTTTCAATACTCGAGTAGATAACAAGATTTAAAACCTTACATAATTCCTTACGTATTATCTAGAAATATATCGAAAACTTGACGCAAAAAATTCCATAAAACTAAAAGTGTATAATGACAAAAACATTTAGCTCGTTTAGTTTAAGCAAATATTGGAAGAGAAGAGACGTAGTGAAAATGTCAATTGTCAGTGCCATTTTCAGTTGATAGACGACGTGGATTGAACTCTTTTAAAACATTATCAACAAATTCAGTTTATAAAGGACAATGGAAAACTTGAATATTTTTATTAAAAAATGAAAATAATATTAACAAAATTATCCTCGGCAGTTACCATTTAGCAACCACCACATGCTCCAGTCCGAAACTCGATTATCACGGGGACACGGGTCGCGACACGTGGAGGAGAAAGGAATTATAGTCGTGACACGTGTAACGATTTGATGGATTGGGTGGCCAATAATAAACAATATTTAATTAAAATTTAACGATGTAACTATGTAAGTTATTAAAATAAAGAAAAAAAAAGAAATTGGGAATTGCATGTGCCGGAGTGCATGCATCCATC